CCCTCCACACCGCAACATAATGCTGTTGTAGAAAGAATGAATCGTACAATAATGGAAAAGGTTAGAAGCATGCTTTCCTCAGCTAAGTTACTAAAGGAGTTTAGGGGTGAAGCTATAAATACAACGTGCTACTTGATAAATCTATCTCCTTCGGCTCTATTGGAAGCGGATGTGTCAGAAAGAGTGTGGATCGACAAGGATGTATCCTACTCACACTTGAAAGTCTTTGGATGTAAGGCTTTCATACATGCACCTAAAAAGTATCAAAACAAGTTAGATGATAAAGCAACCCAATGTGTATTTCTGGGTTATGGATATGATGAATTTGGGTACAGGTTGTGAGATCCCAAGTTCAAGAAGTTGCATAGAAGCCGAGATGTGATCTTTCGTGAAAATCAAATACTTTTCGATTTTGATAAGGAGGAACCGCCAAATCGGGTTGTAGATGAGCTACCAGAAGCACAAACCCCTTTACCCCGGCATAATGATGATGGGCAGCAACTTTAAGATGAAGATGACCAAGTTTGGGGTGGTGAGACTCCTCAAAATGATGATATACATGATGATATTGAGTAGAGGGAGCAACCTCTTCAAGAAGAACCACTTATAGTGATAAGGTCACAAAGGGAACGAAAAGCCTCAACAAAATATCCATCATCAGAGTATGTCATACTCATTGACAGTGGTGAACCAGAAAGTTTTAAAGAACCTATAGTACATGAGAAAAAATGATCAATGGAAGAAAGCCATGCAAGAAGAACTTGAATCCTTGCATAAGAATAAAACCTATGAGCTTGTTGAGCTACTAAAAGGACGAAAAACTTTGAAGAACAAATGGGTATTTATGTTGAAAAATGAAGATGGCAATAAAAAAATGAGGTACAAGGCAAGGCTGATTGTCAAGGGATTCAGGCAGAAAAAGGGAGTTGATTTTGATGAAATCTTTTTTCATGTTGTGAAAATGACTTATATTCGCACCATCCTAGGTCTAGCTGCTAATAAAGACTTGGAGGTTGAGCAGTTGGATGTTAAGATAGCTTTTTGCATGGAGATCTAAAAGAAAAAATATATATGGAACAACCAGAAGGTTTCCTAGAGAAGGGCAAGGAACACATGGTGTGCAAGTTGAAGAAGAGCTTGTATGGATTGAAGCAAGCTCCACGACGATGGTACGAAAAGTTCGCCTCTTTTATGACGAGTCATGGTTTTACTAGAACCACTGCAGATCATTATGTTTACCTTAGAAAGTATTCCGAGTCTTCTTTTATTATTCTCATGTTAGATGTTGATGATATGCTTATCGTTGGTCAAGATGCAAATTTGATTGACAAGTTGAAGAAAGAATTGAACAAGGTTTTTGGCATGAAGGACCTAGGGGCCGCAAAACAAATTTTGGACATGACAATCAAGCATGATAGGAAGAACAAAAAGTTGTGGCCATCATAAGAAAAGTAAATTGAGAAGGTACTTGAAAGATTCAACATGAAGAATGCCAAGCTAGTTAGTACACATTAGCTAGTCACTTCAAGTTGAGTGCCAAGTTATCTCCAACCAACAGCGAAGAGAAGAAGGAAATGGAGAAGATCCCCTATGCTTCAGTCGTAGGAAGTTTGATGTACGATATGATGTGTACAAAACCTGACATGACACATGCCATCGATGTAGTTAGCAGATACTTGGTAAATCCATGCAAACAACATTGGGAAGCTGTAATGGATTCTAAGGTATCTAAGAGGTACATCTAAAGTTTGTCTATATTTTGGAAACTCATTACCCTTGGTGGAAGGCTATACAGATGCGGATATGACAAGAGATCTTGATAGAAGAAAGTCTACTTCGAGTTACTTGTTTACTTTTGCAGCAGTAGCCATTTCTTGGCAATCAAAGTTGTAAGAATGTGTCGCACTTTCGACTACATCGGCATAGGATATTGCTGCCACAGAAACCTGTAAGGCGATGCTATGGTTGAAGCATTTTCTTATAGAGTTGGGTTTGAAGCAAAAGGAATAGGTAGTTAGATGTGACAGTCAAAACGCCATTGATCCGAGCAAGAATGCTACATTCCACTCTAGAACCAAGCACATTGAGGTGCGATACCATTGGATTCGAGATGCCTTAAAAAATAGGTTGATGAAGATTCATAAAATCCATACCAATCGGAATCCGTCAGACATGATGACAAAGACAATACCAAAAGAGAAACATGAGTTATGTAGAGCTTTGGTAGGCATGGGAGCCATGTGAGCATCCAGTATGGGGGAGCCCTCCTCATAGGTCAGGAGGGGGAGTTTGTTGGGTGATTACTTTGTGGGGTCTAGCCCCATTAGGAGTGAAAAAGAAAAGAAAAAAGAGACCCAATAAAATAAGAAAAGGTTAGAGAGAGAGAGAGAACCTAGGGGTATTTAAAAGACAAAACCCAAAAGGGGTTTTCTCACTACTGTAGAGAGAGGACAGGGAGAGGGCAACACCTTCCATCCACCAGTGATGACCTCCATGAGCGACTATCTCGACTAGCAAGCACCCTCCACAAGAATAGTTGGTGTGTTCTGCTGCTGCTTCTCCAAGCCATTGGAAGACCATCTTTGGGAATTTTTGAGGTGGAAAAGAGATTATCTTGTTGATGCTTGTGAGATAACCTTATATTTTCTCCAAGTTATTGTTGTTCTCTAATTTGATTGTAAGCCTCATGTGTTGGGCAAAACTTGATAAGAAACTATATTGTAACCCTCATTTATTTTTAGTGGATTCCTCTCTCGAAGTTGCCCTGTGGTTTTTCCCTTCACATTGAATCAAGTTAAATCTTGTGTTGTGATTGTGCTTAGTGGAACTTTCCTTTCCTTTTTTGTGATTTCTATTTTCTTGGCACTTAACAAATTGCCCATTTTTATTATTTGTAAAACATATATTGTGTGATATGTTTTTACCTTTGATTCACACATATAAGGTAAAGGCATTGCTTCCCAATAGTTAGAGCCATTTGTTTGATCCAAATTTTAGAATATATAGTCTTTTCATTCTAATGAACAATCACAAAAAAGGAAAATTTGAAAACGTAATCTAGAAAGTATTTTTTTAGCCTAATTAACATAGACCATCTATTTTGGTGAGATGCTTAGATCTAGGCTTTAGAATGATTTTTTTTCTTTTCAATTTTTTTAGATAATTTTATTATCATTAGATTAACAATAATAAAAAATAATTTTGAATTCATAAAGGCCTAGATCTTGAAATTCATCAAATGGACGGTCTAGATTAATTTTTAGAGGAGCTCATTTTGACCACATACAAGGTACACATTAGTTTTTTTTATATTTGATTATTGAGGTGAATGGAGTATGCATGCAAAATTTTGGGTCATACAAAACATGGTTTTCTAGAAGTGTGGTTGCATTATACTATGATACAACCGTACAAAATTTTGGGTTATACAAAATATGCTTTTCTAGAAATGTAGTTGCATTATACTATGATACAGCAATTGCATGAAATCATCGGCTTCTAAAATTAAATGAAAAAATATTAGTGAAACATTAAAGGGAAATTATCGCAAATATACCTTAATTTATGCTTAATTAGAAAAAAAACCCCAAACTTTCGTTTATCTCGTCTACACTTTTTTATCTCATTTTCGGTTCGTAATACATATCATTTTATATGGTATTTTAAATACTGCAGTAACTTCAAGTAATATTACGGTACTTTAAATACCGTAAAACTCTGGTCGTGACCATGAAGTAGGTACTTTAAGTACCGTAAAAACTAAAACCCATTATACGACATTTTAATTAGAGTCTATACGGCATTTTAAGTACAGTAAACGCTAACCCATGTTATACGGCAACCCTTTTCTCATTCTGTTTATCTCTTTCATCTCTTATTTTTTTTATGTTTATCTCTTATTTGTCTCTATATTTCTTTTTAATATTTATCTCTTCTTTCTCTCTCTCGTTCTTTTTTATCACTTATTTCTCTCTACAATCTCATCATTGTTTCCTTAAATAGTTTCCTTGATGAGATTGTACAGAGAAAAAGAAGAGATAAAAAAGAGAAAGAAGTGGTAAATATTAAAAAGAATGATAGAGAGAAATAATAGATAAACATAAAAAGAATTAGAGATGAAAGAGATGTTTATCTTTTCTTTCTTTCATTCATGTTTTTTTATCTCTTATTTTTCTCTACAATCTCATCATCGTATCCTTAGATAGATCATGTCCTCTTTTTTGCATAGCCGAGTGTTTGATTACTCTATTTAATAAACGATGATAAGATTGTAGAGAGAGAAAAAGAGATAAAAAAGAATTAAAGAGAGAACTCCTTTTAAGGAAACGATGATGAGATTGTAGAGAGAGAAAGAATAGATAAAAAATTATTGAGAAAAAGAATAGATAAATATTAAAAAGAATTAGAGAAAAAAAAAAGATAAAAAAAAAAATAGGGATGAAAGAGATAAACAGCAGAAGAAAAGAGTTTACGGCATCATTAGAGAGAGAAAGAATAGATAAACATAAAAAGAATTAGAGATCAAAGAGATAAACAGAAGAATTAGATATCAAAGAGAGAGAAAGAATAGGTAAACATAAAAAGAATTAAAGATGAAAGAGAAAAACATAATGATAAAAGGGTTTACGATATTTTTAGTGCCCTATAATAGGGTTAGTGTTTACGGTACCGTATAAAATGCTATTAGTATTACGGTAGTTAGAGTATCGTATAAAATTTCCTAAGTATACTGTATAACATGTGCTGTTATGATAATATGACTACATGAAGGTCATTTTGGTAAAAAAAAATCGAAAAAAAAAAAAAAGCATAGACGAGATAAACAAGTTTTGATTTTTTTTATAATTAAACTTAAATTAAAGTATATTTACGATAATTTCTAAACATGAAATTGCCCATATAATATGGGCAACTTCGTAAATTTCCGTGATTTCATAGACCCGATGCTATTCTTTACTGAATATATTGCATGTCAGGCATGGTACAATGTTCCCCTACCATTTGTCAATTTATCCGTGGCCACCAACCACTAAAATCGCACGGTACTAAAAACCGGACCTATCCATTCCCTCTCTCTCTCACTCTTAACCATTATTTAAGAAGAGTTTCATGAAATTCTCCAAAGAAAAGAAAACACAGAGCAAATCAGTGGCCGAAAATGGTGAGAAGATGGAATGGAAATGGAAGAAAAGAAATAATCATCACAACAATGGTGATTGTGTGCGGTGGTTGCATCGTGGCGGATGGGAGGTGCGATTTCCCTGCAATCTTCAATTTTGGGGACTCGAATTCAGATAGTGGGGGGTTCTATGCTGCATTTCCATGGCAGACAGGTCCTTATGGCATGACCTTCTTCAAGAGGCCATCTGGTCGAGCTTCTGATGGAAGACTCTTCATCGATTTTTAGGTTATTCTACTCTCTCTCTCTCTCTCTCTCTCTTTCTCTCTCTCTGTATTTCTGAATTTCATTTTCTATCCATTTGACTGATGATTTTCAGCTAAAATACGGGAAAGTGTTTTTGAGGTTTTTTTTTTTTGGGAATCCTTCAAGAAAGAAGAACCCGTGCTGCATGAAGATATTGCACTAACATATATCATACACGAGCGCACTTAAACAAAGAAAAAAAAAAGAAAAAAGAAAACAGAAAGAGAGGCCGATGAGTTTTATTACTGGTTTTATCTGTGCTGAAAATTGGGGCTAAGTGGTCGGCCGTTTTCAGCAATTAAGTGTGATGGCAAAATACCACTAAATTAAAAATATGGATGGCAAGGGGCCCGTGTCCCAACCCTCCCCTAAAAATTTACGACCTGTGCCACAAAATAGCTTGCCCATAAAAAATTAGGACCTGGACCACTAAATATGGCCCGACAGGGTCGGGCTAACCCGGACCGGTTGGGTAACCGGCCCAAGTCGGGTAGTACTCGGCTGGGTTAAAAGTATTAAAAAAATTTCGAAAAACCCCCAAAATACAGACAAAGTACATTTCAAATATAATTAAACAAAATGCAACCAAATGAGATTAAAAAATAAGAGAAAAAATGGATTTTGAAAAATCATTTTGTGCATGGCATTTTAGATATAATGCAAAAAAGATGGGAAATTATACAAATAAGTATTTATGGCCAAAATACTTCCCAATCTTTTCCAAAACATTTAGAAACCTATTACAAATTTTTTTTTTGGACTTTTTTATAAGTTTTTGATTTTTTTTTTTTTGATTTTTTTTTATCAGTTTTTAATTTTTTATTTTTTTAAATAAAAGTGGCCATCCTAATTGGTCAAAACTGTAACCCTGCTCGTTCTAGGTTGACCGAGCGGTTTTGGGAATGCTCGGGAAAATATTGAACGGATTCCTTAAAAGGATAATTTACAACATTCTGCCTCGTGTTTTGTTTTTGTCACCATAATTTTTTTTCTTTTAAATCTAGAGTCCATGTATCACTATATCCTATTTAAAAATTATGCCCTTTAATTTTCTTGTATTACTTGCACTTCCCTATTGTCTATCACTTTATTATTCTAATTTTACCCTGACTTCGGTTATTGAATATCTAAAATCACTTCAGACGTTGAGATCCGAAGTTAGTATTGACTATGGATTATTAATACCCAGAATTGCATTGCAGGAAAAAATAGAAAAAAAAGAAATACGTCTAATATAAAAAATTGCTAATTTTTGTAATTACAATATTTAACTAAGATATAGAGGTAAATTTCTCTGAAATCTATGTTCACGTGTCCTTCCTCTCTTCTTATCCTTTATTCTTGTTAATTGCCCAATATAATATCTACAAATATACGAATCTCTTTCCCTATTTATCCCTTTCTATCCCACTTTTCTACGGATTCTCCCTCTTTCAACCACCCACTGTGCGCTCTCTATCACTCGGGACACTTAAATATAATGAAGTAAGACTTAAATATAATGAAATAAGTTGTTTAAAGCAATTAACAATCATAAAAACATGTAAAGAAGGGTTCAACGACTCGGGTACGGTTGGGTCCAGCTGAACCCGGACTCGGACCCGGACCCAGACCTGAATGGTATTCGAGTTCAGGTTTTGGACTCGACCTGACCCCGACCCCGACCCCGACCCTGTTGGATCCAAAAGTTGGACCATACCTGTACCCATCAGATCCCAGGTTTATCCAATCGAGTCCCAGGTCTATTCTATCGGACCATGGGTCTGGTCGGTCTTTTTTTTCTTTTTTGCATCTTGTTTTACCATCGTATACCCATATTATTGGCAACAAGGTCACAATCACCAACTATTAGTCACAATCACCTACTATTAGATTTAATAGCTATTTGTCATTAGATTTAATAGCTATTTGTCATTTAATAGCTAGACTACAAGTTTTTATTGTATACATTTCTTAATACACCCATACGAATAAAGCTTGAAGTATTTTATCTCCAATTATTGGTCGAGTCCAACCAGATTGGACCCGAATCCAAATAGTATTCGGATCGAGATTTTGAACCCGGACTTGATCCATCGGGTCCAAATGTTGGACCCCATACCCAAACCTGTGTTGAGTATACCCGGTAGGTCCCGGGTCCATTGCCACCCCTAAAGAAGGGTGGTACATGAGGAGAGGGTGGGATAATAGATTCTCCGAGAATTCTTAACACCACCTGAAACAATAAATAGGGCCAAGGTTATTATGGGGTTAATATCGTTCCCAACAAGAAATAGGGCCCAAGGTTATTATGGGGTTAATATCTATTCCCAACAAGAAATAGGGCCCAAGGTTATTATGGGTTAATATCGTTCTAAGGGGAACGTCATATATTTTCCTAGGATTGTATACAATGAGACCATTTACCTTTGATATAGGAAGGTCGCAGTTACTTACAACCATATGATGTGAAATCTAGTAGCTTGGGTGTGCACAAAGTTCTAGAAATTTTTTTTTGAACTTTGATGCGAGCCACCCAAATTTCAAATATTTTTTCAAATTTAAATTTCACTCCTAAACTTAATTGAATTTTCCGATGAAAAAACATAGTTTAATTTTAAAAGTTTAATTTTAAACTAAATTTGAATTTGTCTAATTACATCAATTGCCCATCGAAAAATCTATGAACATGAGAGGGGCATTTTAGAAGTGGGGCATGACCCTAGCTGTAAATTCTCCCTCTCAATTCATGTGAAATGAGAGGTGAAGAGAATACACATTTTCTCTCACTTTAACTAACTGGTATATGTAGCTATTGTATATGTGGCATGTGGCACGTAAGTGGGCTTGTCATTTTTGCATTAACGATTTCAATTGAAATATCAAACTCTATATCTCTTTTAAAAAATCTGGCCATATGAAAAGATTTTCCATATAACAAAATTAAAACAATTGAACTTATCTAAGTTCTACCACTCACCATAGCACTATAGGAACCTAGTGATTGGCGTCATGGGCTTGGCGTCACCATAATTTCACCTTAATGTTGTGAGGCTAGGGCTCATATGTGGGTTTGATGTGAGACCATATGTGGTTTGTATTCCCAAACTATCTTTATAAGAAATTATTCCAAACATTTTTTCACAACCATTTTTTCAAATTGAACCAATGAAACACAACCTACAATCCTTTCTAGGAGCTCATGCTCACCAATAGATGGTGGGATTTTAGGATCTTGGTGGATTGCAAGTGAACCAACAAGGACAAGTCAAACTATGTACATTTGATCATAATCAAATATGCAAAACATGATGTGGGGGTCCTCTCTCTAACACATATGCACATCCCTAATACAATAAATAACCCAAAACGGGCTGTTTCCTGTTATATGCACATATTATATAGGTCACACATACATAAGTTGAAGCTTTGGTTCTTATCCTCACATGCGAGCAACCCACTGGGATATCCTTTCTCCCAACTCATACCTTACCAAAATATCATTTCTCTCGCTCTCTCAGGGCACCCCTATGCACCAGGATTAGCCTATGGTGTTTGGTTCAAGGCTAACACCAAGTTCGACTATGGATAACCACCGACCTTTACAAACCAAAACCTGTGGTTAGGGTTTTGCGATCCAGACACCACTTCCGGGTCCCTGACTGCTAGGCACCCTACACTCCCATGATGTCAAAATCCGCTATAAAAATCACAAAATAGAAGGCGTCAAGGCCTTTAAAGGCCACCTCAATATAATAAGAGGTGCCACCATATATGGTACATTTATTTCAGTAGCATCAGCAAAAGACCTTCGGAACCAATTCAAGATTTAGTACCAAACTTGGGAGTTTGGTAACCTAAGGAAAATGGGCGAATAGCTTGGGGTCAAGACGGTATAGGCTAGGTTTTCGTAGCCTAACATCTCAAGTTCTATTCGCAACCTTGTTAAGTTCACTACTTTGCGAACTCTGTCTCCAAAACAAATACAACTCTGATTCTGTAGATTTTTTTGCTATTCTCCTACATTTGAATGGGCCAAATAAGTGTCGCATCTTCTAATTTATTGTATCCCGAATAAAAATTTGCTAGAAAATAACAATTTTTATTAGTGGTGACAAATATTATCTTGAAAAAGTAGATATTCCCGCCTACAAACATAAAGAATTTATGTCCTCAAATTATTTGAAAAATTTATTCATAAACTATTTGCGTTGTTTCACCGACTATTTCCAACATCCCATACGCTTTATCTCCCTTAATGCTAGTTTTCTAGTCATCCGACTATCCTAAAGCTTCTTGTTAAGGACAATACCCTTATCATGTCCCTCTCACTGTACCAAGTACTTCCCTCATCCAATAATTATCACAAATCATATCCTTAACTCAGATTAATAAGTGAATACACTGATATACTTCATTTATTTTTGGATGAAGTTTCTATATGGCCTAGGATTTATGAAAACAAAATCAAGCCTCGCCTCAAATCCTCATCCGGAAATCACTTTCGGCATAAAAAATCTCCATGATGGTTCCAAAATCAATTTTCAACAGTGACAAAAAAATTTAAAACTCAAAATATGTTACAGATCTTGCGGATCTATGAACCACTTATTTTTAGGGTGAAATGGATGGTCTAGATGATTTGTTGTAATATACACTATTTTTAAAATTTGAAATCCTAATTTTTTTTTTATAACCATAATGTTCAAACTAAGGATCGATTTAAAGGTTTTCCAACAATTGAATTGCAATTTTTGATGAGTTATGAAGTGAGGCTTTTCTTATTTTGATAGGGCTGCAGCCCTATCAAACCATTTTCTTTATTTTTTTACATGGAATGGATAGTAGGTATTCTAAAGAACATGTAGAATGCATTTTCACACTGTATAGCCTCCCCCCGTCCTTCTCTCTTTTGAAGAAAACAGAATTGATGACCATCTCGGTTTTTATTTAAGAAAAAGGAAAGGTTTCTATGCTCTTCCTACAGCATAAGTTCTATCCTC